CGCATTCGAGAAAAGACTTTTTGTGGATGATGACCGCAAGGAACTTCTTCCTCAACACAATGAGGACACCACCACCTCTCCGAGTCTGCCTATCACAGCGAAAACAGTTGTAAACGGACCCACTCACCAAAATGCCATGCCATTACCATTACCAAAACGTTGAGCCACGTTTTGGCCAGCGCAATCAGTGATGCCGAGCATGAATCGACGAGTGAAGAAAGGGCGACACTTTTGGGGGGATGCTTATAGTGGTGTACAAAAAAAAAAAAACCCTTTGTGGAAAAAACGCTTCGATCGTGACGACAGGAAAGATACTTGAGTCTGACGGGCGGGGGGCGTATATCATGCTGCAGTAGGCCGAGACACAAGTACTGCAGCATTGGTAGGCCGAGGAACAAGCATAGCGGCATTGATATCAATGCCTCATATATAAAGGTCATTGTTCACAAAAAGTTTGTTAAAAGCAACGCGAACACGGTCACCATCTTTATTGTTTTTTTTTTTTTTTTTAACTGCAATAGTTTATGGCGTTTGTCGCGGACGGCCTTAGAGTTGTCACTTGATATGCTAAATGGTGTGTTCTTTAGGTTGAGGCCTTGACCTAACACCAATTGCACATCTTTGTTATTGTAAAATTCGGCAATGATTGGTGGCTTTTTAGCCTGTGCCTTTGCTTCACACAACTTGTAGCACACAGTGCATAGCACGCATTCGAGAGCACTTGCGTCCGGCGAGAAATCTATGATATACAGGGTACGATCGCAGGAAACCTCGCAGGAGTGCAGGAAGCTATAAGTGCACCAGAACGTGAAACTAGCGGTAGTTTTGAAATGAAAAAGTTTGAGAATATAACATTACATGGGCCAAAAAATGGAAGCGAGAAACGTAATTTTTTTACCGGCGGGCCATCGGAGTACCACCAACTGTTGTGATTGGGGCATTCGATCGGACGCGGGCTGGTAAAAATTAAAAAAAAAAGGACTAAAAATTGTTGGGACCAAGACAGAAAGCGCATGCAGTTCTTTGTTAATGCGGAATGTAAGATCAAACACATTATTCCTCCGGATCAAATGTTTTTTTGATGAATTAGGCTTTGCTCGCAAATCAGTCGGCAGTTCTCTTCTGGCAGGCTTTCCGCTTTCTGCGATGCGTGTTTCCATCCGGAACGCAGGCCAAAAACATGTAGGCAGTGGCGCCAAATGAATTTGAAACAAATAAACAGCTCGGACGCGTGGAACGAACACTTAGAGATCACCATCACAGGAAAACACAAACCACTCATCGCTTGATCCTACAGGCGACGACGGCGACGCTACGACACTCGGTTCGGAAACGACATTCGAGTGATGGACGCAACAGCGTGGGCCTTGCCGCTCCTAATCAATACAAACATGCGACTCTACAACATGATACGTATCAAACAAAGGCTTCGGAAAAACTCAGGTGGTAGCACCGGAAACGCGGTTTAAAAAACAATAAATAAAATAAAAACATTTGTACTAAGGAGTACTGCAAACGCTTATTGGCTCTGAAAACTGACGGAAGCTATTTGACGTCAGCAAAGTAAAAATAACACAAGCATTTTTTGCGATTAACCATGACGCTACAGAAAAAGCAACAAAAACAAGCAAAAGAAAAGGGACGTCATTGGGTGATGTCATATTTGTGACATCACTTCCAGGGACGTTGTGTCACGTGACCTTGGATCATTCCTGCTCCAAATCGCTCGTGTAAGAACGAACATTTGATCGCGTCTGCAGGGCGCCTCGATATCCGCCCTGCGGGCACTGAGCCCGAGAGACCGGTGTCTTCGCTAAATCACGGGACGCCATAGAATTTGGCTGTGTTCCAAATCTGCCCCAACTAGATACGAGTTACTCTGGCGGATAGTGTCACGCAACGTGGGAAACTCGCCGTCGAAACCTGGGCTCCTGGCGTCCACCGAGACCGAGCTAACTCTTTATCGTTTGTCTGTACTGTGGTCACCTTGAGCTTTTTGAAAGCCTGTTTTTGAGTAAAAACAAACGGCAAAGACTCTTTTTGTATGAAATTTATTGGAGTTTAGTACGAAAATAGGGGCACGTTATGTTTTTAAAATCTTTAGTTTGCATGGTTTTGCCGCACAATTAATATTGTTTTTATACAACCATGCCTCAGCGGTCCTTTCAGGTAGCGCGTCCCGACCTAAGTGCATTTTAACTCCGGTAGTTCGACGCGGTGCGTCCGCCGGGGAGACGGGGGTGGCACCCCTGTAACCTCTTCCGCTGTATTTGTAATTAAAGGGGCACTGACACCCCAAAGGTCGTATTTATTTTTAATGTCTAAAACGATGCAAGTTGCAGTCATAGACACGCAAAAAAAAACGCATCGCGCGCGCCTTTTTATTTTTGGCGTTTGATTTTCCCGCCTCTCGCCTCCTCGCTTCTTTTGATCGGTGACGTCAAGAATCATGAAATTTAGAAGCTTTGTAGGCGTCATCTTTATAACATTTAATTACGGCAATTCTAAAACATGTTTTTTAACGCAATTGCGAACGCAGTACGGCCCTTCTTTTTGAAATACCAAAAATCGGGAGTTCGTTGAGGTGCCGTCTTCTGGATTTGTATATTCCAACGGAAAACAGGCGACACCGCTCAAAACTGGTCCGCCGGAACGCCGCCGCTCGCTCCTTTCCTCCTCGCTTCGGGTCGCCATGGCAACAGCAGGGAGTGGTGAAAGAAAGGGGACTCTCAGGTCTCCGCAATTTTTGACATCAAGGCACCGGCGCCGATCGCGCGGGAACTTCTACTTCCATAAAGCCCTGCATGCAACACGGCGCGCGTTGCACTCTGGGAACTAGTTGGCCAGGGAGGAGAGTGGCAAGGTTTCGGTTTTGATCGACACGTCGACAAGAGATTACACACGGAGCGTGGACTATTAACGGCCGTTATCTGATGTTTTCTGGTCCCGAGAGCGTCATTTGTGGTCTCTAAACTAACCTAAATGGCAAAACCTCGAAGCTTTAGCACAAGCCCGAGACGTATAGCATGTCTTAACACATGCTTTGTTGTATTTTTGTACGTGGGCCTTTCTGTTAGCGTTTCGAGGTATGTGGACGAGTCAATGCTGGGTATCTTGACGCTGCGAAGCTCGGGGATCTTGCTTAATTGTGTATGAATCAACAAGCTGTAGCAACTAATAAGTATGCATACATTGAACTCGAGCCTTTACATTAGCACTGTTGGTCAGGAAGTTTGTTTGTTTCGTGCGTCAATAGACGAAATATAATTTTTTGCAATTACTGTTTTTCTTAATACATCTGAGTACGCGAGGTAAAACTCGGAGGCGCCATTGAAAAGCTCAATTATAACGCCCTTCTTATCTCTTATCCGTACTGACCCGCAGCACTGCACTGCACGAAGTCCCCACCCGCTTGCATTTTACTAATATTCAACATCGCGTATGCGCATAACGTTATCCTGCAATTGTATAGGCACATTCGCACATACAAACCGCTTTAAGAAAGCAAACGTCGAGCGCTTGTGTGAAAAATGTCGCACTGTTCGCCAGAAGTACGCCGGACGGGCATGAACCTTTATGCGGCGCGCCAAACAAACGAAATTATTCAAAGTGCATTTGACGTTTGCTAATGGCCATAATATTTGTTATGTCTTTGCTTTCTTCCTGCCTAAGTATGCCGAAATAATTTCAGACACACCGTTCAGGCACAGATCTTGGACGTCAGCAAAAGCTCGTCCAAAAAGGCTTAGCGAGGAGTAGGGGACGCTTATTAGGGCCTCCGTCGTAGCTAGCCGATATCGGCGTTTGCGAAAACTTAATCTTCTATCAACATAAAATTTGAGTGGGAGATATATGATGACACGCGGAAGACATCATAGTAACTTTAGTGCAGTAGTGAGGTCGAATTTATTGCGTTTCCTTTAAAGTTCATGCGTCAACGCTGGGCTCAATTTTGATACTCCTATGAGGATGCGGCTTGCTTTTCACCCAGTCAAGTAACAAGAAGCGGACGTTTGGCAAACAAAATACGTGTAAGGCTCCAGGTGACCAAATTTCAGTTGTAATTCACTGGTTCTAGACGGGATTATTGAAATTGAACTCAAAGGTGATGTGACGTTTGCATACGCACTCATAATATCTGATGTTTCGGGAACCAAGAAAAGTGTCCCGGTCTTCGTTTTGTATCGCTCGAGAATGAGTGTATTGTACGTTTGTGAAAAGTCAGATAATCGAAAGCGCAAGCAGCGCGTTCGGTCGCGGCGCGATAGCATGAGATGGAGCTGCTCAGTCGAAACCGAAACTGAGTGGCCAACTAGTTCCCAGAGTGCACTGCGTGGTATTTTGCCGCGATGGGGCGCGTCGGTTTTGGAAGAAGTCCATTCGGCATTTGGAAAATGTTTTTTTACTTCACGAATACTGAATTCCCAAATTTTAAATTTTGAGGGTAATGTCCCGGCATCGTTTTCAATCGTTTCTGATAATAAAAAAAAAATATGATTTTGATGTGTCAGTGCCCCTTTAAAGCCACGATAAAGTCACATGCAGTTCCTCGAGTGGCCGCTGCGGGAGAAATGGTGGCGTTGTGTTCGTCGTTAGCTCGGTGCTCGGAGACAGATTGGGGCCATTTTTTCAAAGCTGTCTCTATGGGAGTTTCCCAACTGAGTGTTTTAGTAACGTTGCACGTAACTGATCCCGAGGGAAAAGAAAAGAAAAACACAAAATGTTTAATTGTACAGAACCGAAACTGAAACTCTCCTGGTTCAGTAGAAAAATCAGGAGTAATTATTTGAGTCTAATACAAATAAATAAAAAAAAAACGCGCGTTTTTATTTTTTGTTTATTAAAAAAATATATAACTAGGTTCTTTGTTTAGCTCTATATGAAAGTAAGATTTCACTTCTTGTGTTTGTCCAAAAGCAGCCATATTCTTTATCGCCAGTTTGTCACGGCCGCCAACCCTGGTTTGTTTAAGCTCCACCACAACAAGAACTCGGCTAGACTTGGCTAGAAACCAGACTAAGCAAGCCTTTTTTTCTTTTTGGCAGGCCATCGCCGGAACTTCCGGCGAGCGGCCACCCGTTACAAAGGGACGCCACTAAATCCAAAATCCAAATCCAAAGGTGGATGTGCTGAGCAGCTGACCGCTTCAAGAAATGCTGTTGTGTTGTTGACGCAGTAAAGCCTGTCAGCCACCGAGCAGGCCGCCGGTATTCTCCAGTTATCTCGTGTCGGCCATGTCGAAAACAAGTCGCGAGAAAGAAAAGCCGCTGGAGCGCCTCAAGTCCCTCTTCGGCCTGGGCAAAGGCGGATCCTCCTCGGGGCCGGGTTTCGCCGTCCCCAAAATCGAGGAGTTCGCCATCACGCCGGAGATCGTCCGGGTAAGATAAAAAGACAAAGCAAATAACAAAATAAACACTTCTTTTTTGCATTCGGGACAGCCTCCCCTCCGCCTTGCTAAGAGAGGCTGGATCAATCGACCGGTTTTTATTGATCTTGCACCCCGGTGTGGAGGCTCATTGCGAGCGTAGCTGAAGCTACAAGAGCGATGATACGGGCTTTTAGCGTCCCTGCCACGCGCGCACGTCCGTGCAGTGTTTTGTTTATGCTTCGTCTCACCTTAGCACGAACTAACTGCGAAGGCTGTGCAAGCGTGCAGCCGCCGAGACTTCATCCAAAAAAACTAGCTCGCGCTTTTAGCATGGGTGGCTAACAATAGTCCACCCCAAGGTGAGACAAAGTGCAGTGCAACGTGCTCGTGCTCGCAGCTTCGCTCGCACATTAATCGAGACAAACTACAGAGTCTGTACCTCGTTTTACCTTAATATACCTTTTATTTTCAGCGCCAATAAGCATGCTGGGAGTATAGTTGCACGCGCTGGCGTCTGCAGTAGTAACTGTTCTAAAAGCAAAAGCCTAAAACAAATTTAATCTCGGGCGCCTTCCTCAAGGTCTTATTTTGGTTATTTACTTCGAATCTTTTATAAGGGGAAGGTGAGAGCGTGCGGTGCCTAAACTTACATTCCCACCATTCTCCTTGATGCTTGCTTAATTTAGGCAATGGGTCTTTTAAGAGCTCCAGACTTTCGGCGTCCCTGGTGAGCAAAAGCGCTTGTGCAGTGTAAGCATCGTTCATGGCAATGTGGCATGAAGATCATATTTGAGGGCAATGTTTAGAGCCACTGATCTCCACTAGAGGGGGCTGGATGGCGCATTGAGCTAAAACAAAAACATATCGAGGGGCTTTACATTGAGCTAGGGTGCCTAGATGTCTGTCTGTCTCAGGGTGAAGACATCCATTGTTGTCCGGAATGTGCCAGCGCGTGACGCTCTCGCGCACTCGGTGCGTGACTTGGGGTGACTTGGGCGGTAAGATGGCGTCTATGCATCAGCCAAAGCTACGCGCTCGAGCTGAGTGACACCGTATTGCGCTCACTTTAAAATGCATAAAAAAACGATTGGGCGGAAAAATGGCTGAGATGTCACCACTCTAGCAAAAGCGCGCGTGTGTATGAAGGCACTCTACATTGAGCAAACAGGTATGAAGCCACCGGAAGTGAGCGGCTTGTCCCAGAAGTGAGCGCTTGGCAGGCTTTGTAACCCTCCCGAGTGCTGGTTCGAAAAGCTTCGAGGGCGCTGGATTTTCGCTTGTTCCCTCAAGAGAGCCTCCTTGTTGCGCCGTAAGAGAGCGTGCGGACCAGAGAAGTATCATGGGAAGCCATTCAATGCAAACATTCTGAGATTATAGTGGATCAAGTTGTGAATATGTCCCAAGTTCAAATGCCTCATTCTCGGGATTTAATCTGGAACGGGAGTATTAAAACCCAATGAAAGACACAAAAAAGCATGGTCCAAAATATCGAGTGAATGCACTAGGAAGCCCAGCGTGCGCCCCACTTCCGGGACAAGCATCAAACTTGCGGTGGCTTCACTTGCGCCAGGCTCGGAGGGCAACTAAGCGCCATCCAGCCCCCTATAGTGGAGATCAGTGTTTAGAGCTCATGTTCTGGATGAGCTCATATTATTGGGCTGCTAAGACCAACATTCTTGATGGTGTGGAATGCATGCTGCAAAAGAACTGTGGAAGCTTGCTGTCAGCACGTGCTCAACACTCGCACGCACATTTATGGCTGCCAGTGAATACCCTCTATGCAGAGGGCAAGTTCGTCTGCTTCTTGAGCAGGGGTTGCGGTGAGTGCCAAGCTCTGATTGGCTTCGATTGGAAGGATAGTGGGTAGACCTCAATGCAGGTAAAGTCACTGGATCCTGGGAAAGTAACGCCAAGCTCCCCGCATGGTCGCCATCTTGGTCGGTGGAATGAGCAATTTTTCCTTGACCCCTCCGTTCTTGGCGAGCCGATTTAGATTCGCTGGTGACGGGTAGCTTTATTGAGTCGTTTTTTTGTATACCGAGATTTTGATAGCCACACACCGGCGAAGCAAGCGTACTTGTTCGTACCACCACCAGATGCTGTGTCGGTGCTTGGAGGCACTGAAAAATAAGTTTACTGTCTTTAAATACGCAAGAAGAACAATATAATTGTAAGAGATCCATGGAAATGGGCATGATTAATAAGTTGTGCCAAAGACTCTTATATTGGCAAGGAACGCTTCCAGTACGATGATGCTCCATGGTGATCTTGGCGCGACTGGTTTAGAACGACCCCCTGGAAGCTTCGAAGATTTAAATAGACCAAGATGGCGATTTCCATGGGAACTTAGGCCGATTAGCCAATCGCCTTGCGAGGTTTGGGTCGTCTGTATGTTAGTATCCGTTTGTGTGCGGCTAGCAGGTAGGGAAGGCAATGGCGCTACTTTCCCAGGACCCAGTGACTTTAAATGCAGGTAGCATCGAGATCTACCCACTAAGAGCCAATGAAAGATCCATGTTCTGACGTCAGTGCAACCCCTGCTCAAGAAGCAGACGAACTTGCACTCCGAATAGCTTTGGTTTCTGTCACACACAAAGTGTAACTGCTTATAGCTTTGGTTTCTCTCGCGCACAAAGTGAAACAAACTACAAAGTTCCTCTAACTCATTTTACTTCAATTGCGAGCGTAGCATAAGCTACGAGAGGAAGCTCCGGGCCTTCACCATCCCTACCGAGCACGTGCTCTTGTGCAGTGCAAGCACCATTCATCACGAAACGTGCAGGAACAAGGCCTGCAACGTGGAATAGACCGTATGCCAAAAGAAGCACCATCCAGTGTACTTATGGTCAATTCTCAAGCTTCCTTCATACTGTGGCGTTCCTGTACAGATAGTTTCACCCGAGAAACCCTGTCCACCGCAAAGTGAAAGCCGTAGTTGTAAAATAGGATCATGTACTGCCAGTCCAGTCTGAACCCTTCACGCAGCGTCTTCGATAAGGACTTACCTGGATGGCCTGTTTCAGTGCTTCAGTGACGAGTCTGGCGACCTCATTGCTTACAGTTTATTTTCCACAATCTCGCAGCCGTCCTTCTTTTCTCCGTCGCACCGACACTAAATGTCAAACCATTGAATGTACAAATGCATTGTCCTAATTTCATAAAAAACAGAGTTGAATGCAGATGCGACTCGTCCACAGATGGAGAATGGCAAAGACCCTCCACCATATGGTGGCTCCACCGAATGGCATGGTGATGATGATGATAGCTGGCAGGAATTTTGCATATGACCGTTTTTAGTGGGCCTGAAGATAAAAGAAGGAGCAGACTTACCAAGGAAACACTGCTGGAGTCGAGGAAATATAAATTAGCACTTCCTTTAGCTCATGCTTCACTTTGTGCGCAATCAAAGCTGAAACTACAAGTGTGGGAGCATGTTCCCCCGATTAATGCGTGCACTGCACGAGCATGCGTGCTTGGCAGGAACGCTGAAAGCCCCGAACTCGCTGTTGTAGCTTGTGCTATGGTTACGCTTGTAGTGAAAAACATGAGAAACCTAGAATTTTTGCAATCTTCTAGTGAGCCTGGAGACAAGGGAAAGGGCACACTTGGCCAGAAACCATACCTAAAGGCGATAAAATCCAGCATTGTGTTTTCTTTAAAGGCACACACTTGCTTTTGACCACGGCCACCTTCAACGCGACCGGTTTTAAGCCTTTTGTTACGGCTTGCAACTGGCTGCACTGCTGCACAGATGGTTGTAAGCCATCGCAAAAGGGTTAAAGGGACACTGACACCCCCCAAAAATTATTTTTTTATTTTTTGTTGGGTGATTTATTATTGTGTCAGAAGACTACCCAATCAGTGGTTTTCTACGGCATCACACATATTTGTAAGAAAATAGAAAAACGCAACTGTTCGAAACCGAGATCGATGCTGGACTCGGGAGGAAGAGGAAATATAGAGGTGAGCTTTGCCAAAAATCACATGGCTGTGCAACTTTTTTTTTTTTTTTTTCAATCAACGTATTGGCAGCTTTTTAGAGGCCGCAAGAAATAGGTATCACATTTTGTTTTTATTTTTAATGTTAAATGTGTGCCTTCATGACCCACGACTGAGTATCTTTGGTGGTTGTGTCTAGACCATAGAAAACAGCACGTGACCACGGAGAAGAAAGTGAGCGCGACTCAAATAGGCGAGTTCTCGATCGACGGTTCTCGGGCAGAAAGAATACGAATTTCGTGCCGCAAATTATGTTCTGGGTGGTTGGGCTCTCGTATGTCATGTACAAATAAATACCTTGGCGATAATAAATACCCTGCCAGTGTCCCTTTTAAACCGGGTTTTAGCCTCTTGGGTCCTGAGGGGTTGCAGTTGGGTGAATGGGCCTTAGCTGGTGTGTGTCGAGAACACTGGCATGGATAAATGCCTAATTATTTGCAGAACCTGGTATGAAACAAACGGTGAAGGCCTGCAACTGTATTGATCAGAAAATTGCTGTGTGTTTTCTAAAAAAAACCCCTGAAAATAAAAAAAAGTTTTTTTTTTTACAGTCCAGTTGGGACACATGTGTCAAAAAATTATATTTTACGGGGAAAAATTTTTTTTAGAGCAATATTGATGGCGAGAGACGCGATTCTCTCAGCATTTCAGGCACATGGAGGAAAGGTCGATCGGCTTTACCTTCACAACCAAGATGGTCATTCTGGAGTGACCCGTGACGTCATGGACTTGGCGTGCAGAATTTCAAATAAACCTCTCGCCATCAATATTGCTCTAAATTTTTTTTTTCAAGTAAAATTAATTTTTTTACACGCGTGTCCCAACCAAATTGTTTAAAAATAATTGTTTTTTTCTTTTCAGGGGCTTTTTAATAAGGAAAGACACTACCTGGGAATGTCAACTTCTTAACCGCTCACTCAATCGGCGTGATATTAGCAAGTGGTGTTTGTAGCCATAAAGGAGGAGGACATGCAAAGTTTCAGCCCTGTGAACCAATTTTATACCCTCAGAACAAAGTAAAGCATGGCTTTGCATGGGATCTGCTCAATGAATCTATCGTTGAGAAATATTGTTGTTAACCACATATTTTTCTGGTGTAATGCATGCTGGAACACCTGCATGGTATTCCAGTGTGCATTCTCGCGCGTCAGCCAATCGCAAGCCGCCTTTCCGAGCGAGACGGCTTGCGACTGGCTGATGCGTGCCCGTCGTCACACCGCTGGTGCTTCCGCTGGACTTTGTGCTCCAGACTTTTCCACTCAGAAGGGGGCATGGCACAAACTTGTATCACTTTTTTGGTAGGGGAGTAGACGTCGCACGAGCATAATTTTTGGATTTCTAGGATGCTTGGAGCCCATAAGGTAAGTCACCACCAAGAACAGACGGCCTCAGAAGCGTCTTTAGTACCCCTTTAAGTGGCCGGATTTGAGCCAAGATCTCTTGTTCAGAGTGCCAATTCTTGATACGGGGATGCATGCCACATACCTGCAGAGTGCCTTCCTCAGTTGCACGCTATGCGGTACTTTTTTTTTTGCTGGTCCGAGGCCTTTGCTTGTAGAGTTGCTAGATGAGGATTGCCAACCACATTCTTCAAAGCTCGTTCCTTGCTTTCGCTTGGCATCACTATAGTCTGTTGCAGGTGAAGAGAAGCAGTTCAAGCTCCTGCCAGAAAGTTTTCCACATTAGCAGAGCGAACGCTGGAGAGGAGGCAAGTGAGGAAGCAAGTCTACTCACCTCCTCTGTGGCATTCGCTTTTATCTAGGGGAAAAAGTGGAGGGCTTTGTGGGGCAGCTTGTCTTGCTTTCAGAGTGTGGAAAGCTACCCTCAGAGTATCGTCGCTCTTTTCCTCCCCATTGTCTGTTTTCACGAAGACGCTCATTTGTCCGTTCACGTCACGTCACATCGATTTATGTCCTAGCGGCTCGAGGACGCCGCCATTTTGGTGCCTAGTGCCACACGTGAGCCGTGTGCGAGAGTTATGGCACTAAAGCTCCACCTTTTGACTGGTGGGTTTGGTATTGGGAGATCCTCACGGCATCGTTTTGCTCTATTGTGAACCGTTTTGGCAAGCGGAACAATGGAAAGCACTTTTTGCAACTTCCGTCAGGCACGCCTGCAAAAGCCGATGACGACTACGCTTCGGTTCACGATCACTTGGCGAACTGTGGAGGATACGGCCCCCGTGACCCGATAAGAGCATCGGAGCGAGAACACCGCATCCTGGGAGCGTTTGTTACAGTGCCAAGAAGCCGACTGTCGTCTGCTGAGCGAGAGTCGTTTGCTGCGAAACCAACCAGCTTCAGATTTGCTGCGAAACCAACCAACTTCAATGCCTCAACACTGCTCTCCGCTAGAGCAGCGAGTTCTCCGAGAACAGTTCCTGAGGCAACCATACTCACAATTTACCTGCGAGTCTGTGGTGTGTGCTAACGCCAGGGCTACGTTTTGAGCAAACTTGGTCGATTACACGTCTGTGATTGTCAAGAGCCACAATGCTACACAAAGGAAAAAATCGGGAGCAGATACGGATGGTGTGTCACTTTTTGGTTTAAATATAATTGAAACTTACAAATTTGTGTATGTTTATTCATTATTTTTTTTATATATTCTGGATAGAGATAACATCATCAGAGTTCAATTACTGTTAAAAAAAACAATAACCTAGGACTACTTTTTGTCACGGGCGGTGCTGTTGCTGTAACGAGGCCTTCATGACCTTGACCATGGAGTGTTATTACGTAACTTATTCCGACGCTCCTATTGGGTCACAAAGGCCACAGCCTCCATAGTTTGCCAAGTTATAGTGAAACGGAGTATAGTGATGTCGGTTCTGTGCACCAGTATGGCCGGAGCATTCATACTCTAAAGCATAGCATCTTTAGCGACTCTACTTTCGCCGATTCCTGTTTTGTTTGGGAAGAAAGGGACCGAGCGCTCGACAGGAGAACGTGCTAGCATTTGCTGCTCTTCATCTTTTTGACACGGTCTCTCGTTTGACAGGATATCGGAAATGAGAGCAGCATCTCGCACCGCACGAAATCCATCAAGGAACTCGTGGACATTGTACGAACCAAAAGGCTCCAAGAGGTGAGAGAATGGGGTAACCAAATAATAATGATTATAATAACAAATAAATAAAGCACGACAGCCAACTCTATCCTAAAAATAGGGACCCTACGTTATCAGGCCTGCTCGGCTCCACTTCAGGGGTACGTGGTATCCGCATGCATACCCTTGAAGTGTATGTGGTAACCACGGGCACTTTTCGCTATTTATGAGTTTGCTCGTGTGACCGTATTGCAATTCTGTTTGAGTGTCTGTGTTGTTTTGTTGGTCCCGACTTTGATTTGTACGCTATGTCGGATTGCGTTTCATAATCTTTTGTGGTCCCTAAAAAGGAAGTAATCGGAATATGTGGATAAATGATCTGCGCTGATCGATTGGGATGAAAAATATGTTAATGCCTATTGCAGGCGTCTCGGTGAACAATGGAATGTTCCCGCCGCTCACACAAACTGTGGCCTCGCTTCAGTTACATACATTCTATCATCCCTATTGAACACATTGAATCGTTGGATATATTTTACTCATAATTTGCCATTTGACGACTAAATATTATTTACGTTGTGAGTGTCAAATATTTATTTGTTACTTCTTAAATGTGTATTTTGTCAAATAATGTATAAGTAACAGAATTATTCCAAGATCATGTATTTTTTGTTTTATATGCTTTGAACTAAAAGTGTGCCTGCATGCCTGTGGTAGTATTATTACTGTGTATTAAGCGGCCACTGAGCCTGTACTGTCATCCTGGAGCTGGGGCCTCGAGAAGCTCCACTTGCTGCAGCTTTTTGCCCCAGCTACCATCTTTCTTGATGAAACAAAAATAAATTTTGAAATGATTGATTGATCAATAAATGTTACGAGGCCTCTAGAATGCAAAATATTTTGTCGTCCTCTAACAACTCTCGTTCTCGATCGGTACGGTTCACTCATCTGCATTTTTTCTATGGTTGTCAGACTGCTATATGTTTAGAGATGTGCAGATCAGGGATTTATTTTGGGATCAACTGAAATGGGAGTCAGAACAGTCCTCCCTCTAAAATAATTTCCAGTATTGAATCGAATGAACACCCGCCATATGTGGAGCACATATTAAAAGAGCAATATTTCATTCCTACTTATCTAGGTCCAAAGACAAGTTTTTCTCACTGCAATAGATCCCTGCAACGTGGAGGTAGAGAGTACCGTTTCCCCTCAAATAAAGCGAGGTGTAAAAATAAAATTAAAAAATTATAAGAGCTTGGTCCCACTGAAAAAGGCCAGGGAGCCCAGAATCTATCCTGCACAAACGACATCTCGTGCGTGCTTTGTGCTAGTTTTCCTATTGTGCACTACAGACGTTAGCCAGGGCGAGACAAAGTGAATGAGCATGCCGCACATGCGCTACTTTACATGGCTCTTGTGCGACGCGTGACATCACTGAGGTGAGCGGTCAGGCGGTACGATGTCGCACCGCCCTCGCCGGCAGGTTTTGCCGGGAGCGTAATCTCTCCAAGCCATGGTACGCAGCTCGGTCGCTATAGTATCCAATTGCCATTGCAACGACCCGGGTTCGCGCCCCGCTTGGGCATCTTTCTTGTGTCGATTTCACGTGGGCCTTTGTAATCTGACATGGAACCTTAAAAGGGCACTGAAGTGCTTTCTGAGATCCTCGTTTTATGGTCGTAATTCCATCTACAAGCTCTAAGCATCCTAAAAAACCTGAAATCACATTCGTGCGCAGCCGATTTGCATATTAAAAAAGTGAGCGAAGATTGCCACACTTACTGTTGGCGCAGAACAACAGATGGTGCTACCGAACCTTGCTGAATGCAGTCAGACGACAAACGGTGCTCGTCATCCACTCGCGAGCAACGGGTTCTCGCATGGACAAGCGGCTGACCAGTCCCACTCGTCCACACTGGAACCCATCGCTTGCAAGTGGCTGGCAAGCACCATTTGTCGTTCTGGAACTCACACAGGAATGGAATTCTGTTTTTTTTTTAGGATGCTTAGAGCTCGTAGTCTGAGTTGTGACAATAAAACAAGGATCTCGAAGGGCAGTTCTGGTGCTTCTTCAAAGGCCGATGAGCAACCAGGAAGGAGAAAACTCTCCCTCGATTCCTCCTTTCCTTTTCAGAAACGGGGAGATCCTTCTCCTTTCGACGGGGGGTGGCTCAGAGACCTGCTCCTGTGGGGAGAGGAAGAGTGCGAGAGGGAATGCAGAGAAGGAAACTGGGACCTCGTTTTCTTCCCAGCAGAAGACGATTCTGTAGTAATAGTAGTAATTCTAGTCTTTATTGGCTCAGGAGAGCCGTGGCACCGCGGAAAGGCGATAGCCCATACCATGGAGGCCCGTGTTGCCACGTCTAGTGATGATGATTATGGGATGATATGTACAAGGGGAGGACGGCGACGTATACATGATAGAAAGGCCTTGAACATTGTGTAATGCTCCCGACAGGACACTTGCCCACGACGCCATCCTCGTTAGTCGCTCACGATGCTCGTTCATGACGCTCGTTTATGACACTCGTTGATGGCGAATTTCTCGCAGAAAACGACTCTTAAAACATTTTATGTTAAAATGATCGAAGGGAAGGCGAGCTGGTGTACGTCATTCTGCATATTTGCGGTAGCTTTCAGTCCGTGTCTGCTGAAACTTATTTCGCGAGGCTAAACGATCGGCCGAATATTGGGGCGCTTCATGGGGACGCACTGTTGTCCGTCTTTCAGGGAGTTCCGGAGACCCTGTACACGCAGACCTGCGACCTGCTGCACCCCGCGCACGGGCAGGACGTGCGGCACACTGTACTCTACTTCTACTGCTGCCTCATTCAGGGACAGGTGGGACTCTTGTCTTGAGCGGGCGTTCTCAGACGCTTTGACCTCTAGAAGCTTCTGTTTGCACCGAACTGCAGCTGAGAAACCCTCTCCAGACACGACATTATCCACGAAAGTCGGGAAGAAGCCTACAGGCCTTTCATACAGTAGTGCGCATTTCATTGGTTGCCTGCAGCCTTACCCAAGGCACAGTGGCGAGAGTGTAACCCAAGTAGTTAGAGAGGAAGGAGGAACTCCCCTCTCTACCGGGTCTCTTTTGTGTCTTTCAGACACTGCTTTTGCCTCAAAGATTAGCCCGTCACTCAACATCATTTGAATAAAAGCTGATTTGCTTTTTTCCCCACCCATGGCTTCCATCGCACAGCGTGCAACTAGTGAGGTAGACTAAAGGGAGCATATGGCTCATAGTTAACGCATCAGTGTGGGTCTCTTATCTTCTAAAATAGGGCTTAAACAGGGAAAACTCTTCACTTAGGGGCAGGGACCGTCGAGGAAATTTCTGGGTTCGGGGGAACCCGCCAGGTACCTGTGGGCAACCCAAGAATTCCCCAAAGTGCCCTCTATGGTACCCAAATTAAAGTGTTTTCTCAGCAGTAATTTGGCATGCCTGAGCCACATACTGGTGCACAGCTAGGAACTAAACATGTTCTAGTGTCTGCATCATTGCAAACAAAGTCTGTAGGTCTCTGTACTGTTCAGTTGTGAGAGGAGCAAGTGTTTCTCTGCTCTCATTCGAGGCAGACGGTCGTTCTTCAAAATACCCAGGTTTGGGAGACCCTTGTCTAGAGCCACACAATAACCCTTGTTTGCAAAAAGCCAAAAGTATGGCAATTTTGTACTTTCATGAAATGAAAAATAAGTGGTATGCTATGTTTTTAGTGGACTGCCATACACTACTTTCAATATTGGAAGTTTTTTTTTCTTTTTTTTATAAATTCTTAGTGTGGTCAACGGGTTTGTTGGTTATCTTGAAACTAGGCGTGTTGGGCTTTAAGATTATTACGCTTGCAGATGTGGTTCTTGACTTTTCTTCCTCAGGACTTCGTTTCACATTCGGGTAGGTATCTGAGGATTCCCTGGTATGTGTCTGAAATCCACGGTCATAGAGCAGTCGGTTACTGCAGGGGGAAAACAGCTCCCCACGTAGTCCTACTTTTTTACAGCGGAGCTGTTAGAGGCTAGGTTCCCCAGGATCGTGTCCGGTAAAAACAAATGTCGACACCCGTGGTCGACACAACACTCTGGTGGCCGCCGTCGCATATAGATGGCTGTAACTGTCCAGAGTGTTGTGTTTGCCGGTTTTCCGCTTGCCGCCGTTGCTCATAGATCGCGGCAACCTTTCCAGCCTCGGCAACCAGACAACTGATTGCTGCTGTTGCTCATAGATGGCAGTAACGTTTCTTCGGAGGAAGAAGAGCGGGAACGGAACGAGGGGCGATGTGCGCGGCAGCGCGGATGGTTTCGCAGCCCCCGCAAGACCACTATCGCCTAAAGTTACATTGCGTTGAGCGCTTCAGATTCTCTCGCAAAAGAAGAGCAGATCGCTCACCCGGAAAGCCACTGCCGAGAACAGAAGTTACAGCGCTGCTGCTCGTCCTTCTTCACCAGAGTGTAAAGGCTGAAAGTTTTTTTATGGCTTCTTTTTTATTTGTTAGAGAACTGATGGCGTGGTGACTGCTGTTACAAGCTGGATTGTACTGTACTGCATCCAGATCGTAACTCCCACATTTTTGCAGTTTGAGCGCCTGGACATCTCGCGGACGCACTTCTTCAACCTGATCCAGGACTTGCGACACCCAGAGGACCTCGCTCTGAGGTGAGCGGCAACTGTGGGCTGCTTGAGATTATTATTTACGCGACAGCGTTAAGGGGCTCGTGTCGCAGAAAAGCCGGCGTTGCTGGCGTGGCAGAAAAGCCGGTGTCGGTGGCGTGAGACATATCCTGATTGGTCGAAAGGGTCATGAAATTGCAGTAGCATGACCTCACTCGAGAATTTCAAACAACCCACGACGTTCACGTGAGACGCGACGTCACATGTGGAATGAAAGTTGTTAAAAAACCTGACACGTAAGGCTAATTAAAGTTTGTCACATGTCTCGGATGAATTTACTTTATAAATTAATTAATTTGCCTTAAAGAAAAATTTGAAGTAGCTTAGGCGAGATTCGAACCCACAACGATTCGGTTGCGAGCCAGATATGCTACTGACTAGGCTATGCAAGGCACGCTTGCACGGCGAATGACAAGGCGATGCGGACAGGGTGCAATAACACTATCGCATTCCAATCTTTAAAGTGAAGCTTAAGCATCCTCCAAGTTTTTTATGGCCATCCTTTAAGGTTTTTATTCATCTGGCCATTGTTTTGTTATGTCCCATTTGGTTATTTCCCCGAGCCCTGTCATCTTTTGGACCCTTTACCGGGGTTCAGTGATAGCACAGGCCTTCATCCCATGTGTCGGGTAACACTAGCTTGTTTCATAAAAACTTAACAGTTGAGTTGTTCGTTCGTTGTTATAGCTAAATCTTGAGTTTGTTCCGCAAAATATTTAGCAGTTGAATACCAGCAGAAAGAGCATGGTGGGGCAGTCTTCTCGATACCAAAGCCAGGTAACTCAACATTTTTACCAGACAGTCCAACTTAACTCATTCCTGAGCCGAAAATTGGACCAAAACCGTTATTTTGGCCAAGCTGGAACAAAATTGAATTCTAAATCGAACATTTGGTAACGAACCCTAACCAAGAACAAACAACCTTATGCAGCGGCTTTCGGTTGATTGGGAAACGATTTGGTGAAACGAAAACGAGTCAGTTATTCGAATCCTGACTTCTGCTCATCAAATGGTAATGGCGCTGGGCCACCGTGCATATCACACGCACTACAGCAATACCTAATAGCGGAGCGGACCGCATCATGTTGCTGAGTGGGCCACAGCGGATAGCATTCCGGGCGGCATAGGATAGCGGAGCAGGCCACATACGGATAGCGGATGGGTCCTTAGAGGGTAGTGGAGCGGACCGCATCGCATATCTGAGCGGTTCACGTAGTGGATAGTGGAGCAGGCAGCATTGGTTAGCGGAGTGGACCCTAATTTTGCTGATCTGGACTTGGTGCTTTTCCTGACTAGGACAAGTCGGGACTCCGTATCAAAACTAGGGACAGTTGCACAAAATCTATGATGGTTAAAAACCGTGGTTTTTCTTGTGCGTGATTGGTTGAGCCTGTGATAGCAAATGCGCAAAGACGACAAGCGCTGTGACAAGGCACCATTTGATTGGTGACATTCCATCATAGCATTGGCTGTGCTCAGAGTTGGCGTGCAATGAAGTATAGAGTTCTACGGTGTAGAGTAAATCTCCACGCTGGCTCTAAAATCTGCCAAAATCTCAAATTTTTGTACACGGTGTACCGTAGCAGTGGATTTTTCTTTCTTGAAAATTCAAGATGTAGTAGCTTTGTTTCGGCACAAAACGAGATAGAAAAACTCTCCATGGTCGAGAGTGGACGTTGAGGTAGACGACCGAGTTGGTGACGGCGGTGCTCGTGACGCCAACTGTGGACGGGAGTTGCGAGCAGGTGGCTTGATGCATTGCGTGCTTGCTGCACTTACTGAGAGACAGCACCACGAATACAACCGTCGCTAACTCGGTCGTCTGCATCGGCATCTGCCCTCGACCTGGGCAAGTTTGTTTAGTCTCATTTTACGGCGGTGGCTGTCATGGGCTCCTCCCACCATTGAAAACGACGTCCGTAGTTGGTGTAGCATTGCATGTGTCGTCAGTGTTGCCACAATCACGAAAGAGGTCGCCTGTCACCCATGGGGGGGTCGAACCTGCGTCCGTCGCGTGCAAAGCGGAGGCATTACCGCGGAGCTACGCCTTGGCGTTAACAACCCGCATTATACTTGGGGCTTTAGTAGTACCGTAATATCCCGAGTCATCGCCCACCCCCCTACCACCTGAAATTCATTAAAAAAGTGGGGTGGGCCATGTCTCGGTGGGTGAGCACAAACACTTGAAAAAAAGCGGAAAAAACCGCCTATTTTCTCTGCGTATCTAGCGCTGATGCACAAGAGATCCTTCAAACTCAAAACTCGATTTAGTTTCATTGTTTTATAAAAAAAAATGCTCACGAAAGAATATTTTACTATAGCGAAGTCCGTTGCTTGCATACGCGCTAGAAACATCGCCGATCTGCATATAGCGCGAACGTTTGTTCCGTGAAAGAATATCACCACTATGTTCTCCTAGTTAGTAAAAAAAAAAGAAAGAAAAGTCTACAAGAAAATAGAAAAACCGACCAGGCGCAGCGGGCGAGCGAGCGAGCGGACCAAAGAAGCGACCAAGAGCAATGCTGGGAAAGCGGGAAAGCCGGCGGTCGCGTTGGCAAATACTTTGGCGTCGGGCCAAGTCGGGCGCCTTGTCAATTGCAAGCTCTTGCGCAACTTTCTTGTTTGGTGCGTACATATGTGCGTCGGTGCACGGCGGGCTATCAATGCACGGTTGGGACGCTCTACAAACGTCTGTGTAGGGCGTTTCACCAAAGCTTTATTTACGCGTTGGCTTTGCCTAAAATATTGCACAACCGCGGTCGCGACGGGCGGGAAGAAGAAGCGGGTTCGCGGTGACCTTACTTCTGCGGAGACAGACTTTGACCTAACACTCCGCGGTTACATTAACAAACTCTTATTTTGTTATCTCCATCGGTTTTTTTTTCGCACGGATACACGACCACTTTGGGGTCCTTTGTTTTACTTTGTCACGGACGTCCTCGAACTGTAAGTTCCGCGGCCGCGTCATTCGGGTAGGATGAGTGTTCGCGGATCGCAGAGTCCGCGCTGGGGTATTTGAAGGGGTGGGCGATGACTCGGTGTTTTTTCGGAAATCGATATTGGCCCAAAAAATGGGGTGGGCGATGGCTCGGGGATGGGCGATGACTCGGGATATTACGGTAGTACCCGATTCGCACTGTGGGATACTCTCTGGGAAAAGAAGACAGCTTATAACGAAATGTCGTCGTAGCACTGTAAATGCCGAGAGCTTGTCCCGGGAGACGCGCTTTTAAGCGCTTTAGAACAGAAAATAATCGAAACGTTCGGAACAAAACGGTCACATGTCCATTTTGTTCTGAACGCTTTTCTTTACGCACCCCAAGTTGCGCAAAGAAAACCGATGCTCAATGTGGGTTAACACGGGACTGCTTCATTTTTTCCCACGAAGAAACCTACGCCTTTTAAATTTTACCTCCAACGAAAATTTTGAATTGGTGCACTTAGGCATCTATCTTTCTGGCAGATTTTAGAGCCGGCCTGGGTTTTTGTTTTGCCCCGTAGACACTAGGCAGACGTGGAGGCTGTTTTAAATGGGGCTCAGTGCTTTCGGTCAATACCAATAGACTCCAAAAATCGATCCCTGGTGTCAGTTGTATCCAAATAGGGGAAGCCCAAAAACCCCCAAATGAGACCTGCCCTTGAATAAAAAAGAAAGCTGATCCTCACGTTAAAAAAAAATTTCTATCTGCGGCTTTGTTCTTCATTACGCCCTCCCCCAATGAACCGTCTGCGAGACTGGTTCCTTTTTTGGAACCACGTCCCCTTACCCCGTTGCCTTCTTTTTAACGGCACCGGGTCATGCTCCAAGCATTTGGGTCATGAGCATGTTTCCCAAGGCTTTGAGACTCCCATGCCATTGCCCTATTTTCTTTAAAAAAAGTAAAAGCCCCAACAAGCTACAGACGCCAATGTTTTGCACGCCGTGCTGAATTTACACTGGAGAACGCCGAATCTGTAGGAAAAAAAAAAACCCCGGAAAAACACACCAGAGCCCCGAAAGCGCCAAACCCTATTTATAAAGCGCCATGTGCGGCCGACCCAAGTACCGATAGATTTGATTTTTTAGGGTATTTAAGACAAAGTGACTAGCCATCTGGTAATAGAAACGTAAAACACGTAGAAAACACGGGGGCAGCTTTGCCAAAACGGATCCGTCAAATAAACACCGAAGCTCGACTTCACGTCCGCTCCGGCGTTTTTTTGGGGTTACTCCAACTGAACGTGTTTCTGGAGTACCCAGGCTTTAGTCTTTCCAACGTGCTATTTATTAGTACCTCTCAATTCAAAATAGTCATTGAGACAATAGAAAAGAAGGGTTATGCCCAAACCAACATTCAAATGTTCCTATGCTCTGCAGCGGGGCGATGATGCACGCCGTACAACTTGATAGTCTAACGGTCAGTCTCAGAAACACAATATTTTGTGCGTGTTTTTTTTTATTGTTTCATTGGTGCATTTTCTTTTGTTGGAGCATTTTTCAGCATTCATTTCATGCTATCAGACTTTTCGTAGCTCATCGAGGATGAGTTGTACAGTTCCCATGTATGACATGGATGGATGGCAACAGCTATACCCCTCGCAATGGGATGCGGCTTGCGCCACCTAGCCTAACATTTTGTCATTCCTCCTTTTTTAAGATTCCTATAAATTTTGTTCTAACACAACCCTCCCCCCTTTAAGGCGTTCCCATTGCTTATACTGGAAACGCGACATTGCTTATATTGGAAACTTGACATTTGACATTGTGTTTCCAGTGTTGGCAGGGGAGACGCTCTCCCTCCGTAACCAAATTTGAACGTTCAGTAACCTTGCGAAAGCAACAATTCTGATTGGTAATTTGGGTTACTAGGACAGATTTGTTTATTATTGCTTTGAACCAATTTTGAGGCAAATTCGTGACTATACGCAAATTTTTCTGGAGTTCCCTTTTGGTGGGGTCACAATCTGAATATTTTGGCAGAAATTCATGAGGTAAATGTGATAGGTGGTACAATCCCTGGTCTCAACAAATGTTTTGTCAGAAAGTAATTTTTTGTTTTTTGTTTTTTTAACGCAGAATGTGTTGAAGTAGGTAGGAAGTTTTTGGAGGCAACATGATGCCTATCACACATTTTGTGCTTACCTTAAAATTACGCAGGCTTGATCAAGCCTGCGTAATTTTTAATTTGGTAACATAATTAAAATTGCGTGACCTCGCTTGCCGTGTTGACAGTGTCTCAGCTTGAGTCTCGCTTTAATCCCTGCCTTGATGAATTAATGTAAAGTGGTGAATGGACTGACCAGTTGTACCGTCATTGTTCAGACTGGACCTGCTGAAAGTGCTCACCGACAAGGGAAAGTGTCTAAGCCACTTCGAAGACAAAGCACGTGAGTTTTCTCTAATAGTAATAATAATAATTATGCTTTATTCCGTTTATAAAAACCCGGATGACAGAGAAAAGACGTTTGTTTGTTTAAGCCACATCTATTTCTTAAGCATCTGTCTTAAGCATCCAAGAGATCATATAAGCCAAACTCTTTTGTATGTCAAGTGTAGGACAAATGCCACATGCAGCTGTAGATCTTCGATCTGGGGAAGGAGGAATAAATGCTACTGTCTGCGTAGCTGGCATGGGAATCAACAATCACAGACATCCTTGAGCTAGTCGTTTTAAGATTCCATATCTTTGTCCCTTCTGATTGTCTTAGACATATAAAGCGTTGGTGGACAGCTCACTGCTCAACGTCATCTGGCAAAAGAACTTGTAATTACTATGCACAAGCATTTTTAAACAAAGCTACCCCCCCAATGCTCATAATGCAAGAATAAACTACAGGTTCAAGAAAGCCCTCGGAATTGTTAGTTTGTAACATGACTTACCTCGCTGCCTTGCGTTTTTATGTTTTCACTTTTTTTTTTGTATTTTTACTTTACGTTTTTCATTTCATGTGGTTTAGAGAAGGAAGTGTCCCAACTCGGAGGTGAAATGGTCATTGAAATGCAAGAAGCGTGTTCACAGCCGACAGTGCTGCATCCATGGAGCTAGCAGTCTTCTTCTTCCTTATTTCTTCTTACTATTAGACACTGTCAGTTTGCAGTAACACTTTTTGACCAGTGCTTTTTGCTGATGACAGATGAGTGCCCAGTTCTCAAGGACAAGTGTCTAGATTACATGGTATCTCAGAATATTTTCCCTGTTTATTTGTGTTCCACTCTGTTGTACTGCCAAGGGGGTCTAAGGCAAAAGGCGTAGGCACCCGACAAGACCTTAGCTCTATATTTGTATACAATCGATGAGATATAGACCAAAGTATAAATAATAAAAAGTAAGCATTATAGACATAGTCACATTATACACAAAGTCAATAGCCAAAACATAAGCATTAAGAGTTGAATAGCCAAAACTTATATGCTAGTTGACACTTCAGTCTAATAGCCCAGACATATGCAACACTATTTAGAAGTGTAGTTCAGAAGCCAAAGCATAAGCATTATACTACACTAATTCGTAGTATAGGTGCTTCAAAAGCCAAAACATGTGCATTGTACACTAATTCAAAGTGGTATAGTTTAGTTACCAAAATTGTTATGCCAGCGCTTTTTTTTATCTTCTGAAATAATAAAGAAGGTAGTAACATATTGCTGCTGGAATTCATACTAGTTTGTTACAATTATATCTTAAATAAATAAAAAAAATTTAAATTTTTTTTAGTTAGCTTGATTTTTTTTAAGGACGATAACCCCTTTTCAACTCCCTCCTTTCCCACGCCACAATGTTTACATCTTGAGGCCAGGATGTAAGAGAAACTTGAATCAAGCGCAAAACAAACATCCTGTTTTTCTGCGTGCTTTCAGCCCAGTTCCTGCTTCAATGGATGCCAGAGGTGTTGAGTGCCGGCAGGGCGTTCGACTTCCTGTCTCTCCTGATCAACGTCATCAAGTTCAACTCCTCCTTCCTGGACAAAGAAGTGGTTGCCGGATTTGTGCAGTAAGCGCCGCTCTTGGGCCGGATCGGGCAGATGAGATCTGGCATCTGTGGTCGGGTCATTTTGCAGCCTCGGTCGCACCGGGCCGGTTGTACTGCGCGAGTGTTGCGTTGCCGGAAACGAACGGAATGTGCACGCGTTTGTCACGGGTGACTTTGATGCCGGGAGACTAGAACAGCAGTTTCACCCTCGCCCTTTCACCGATAACAGTCGCGGTCGAGGCGCAGCGCGTTCGGCCGATCGCGATTGCGCTGGGGGTTACCCGACTGCGCTCCTTGCCACCTTTTCTTTCTCGCCTTTGGTCGCCCGTGCCCTTGGCGCTCTAAGCCTTTGCACGCAAGAATGAGACGGAGCGAGCAGCCGCTGCTCGACGGCGAAAACGCGTGCGTGAGAGAATGTTGTCGACGAGTAGGCACTGACGGTCTCACCCCGTGTGTTAGGATGGAATGCATTAGACCTCATGAACACGCCGTGCGTGAACGCGAAGCAACACGTAGAAGCGAGAACGCTGCCAAGCAAAGAATGGATGCGCTGGTGCGACTAAGCAATTTGTGCAGCGTGTCCGCGAGAACGCGTCTGGCGCTAGCCGTTCTGTGTGTGATCGGTCGTGACTCGTGGTTCACGCAAGACGCCGCACGACGCAACATCGCCGGAATATCCAATCACGACGCAGTATCATTGAAATGTTGCGCTGGCTGACACTGTCCATTCGCATCACGTCGCACGATCATCTGCTCAATATTTTTAGCGTACAACCTCGATTATCTGCTGTATGCAGACCTCGTCGCGCTTTCTAAATAACTGGCTAAAGTTAGAATAGGTTACATGTAGGGCTCCCGGTTTTTGGCACATACCGATAAACCCCAAAAAGTAGACCTCGAGTCGACTTTATTCAGATCGGTTAAAAGCCATATAAAACCTTGAATTGGAGCTATCCTTGATTCAGAAAACCCAGGCTGAACAGAAAGAAATCTTTATTGTGTTGACCCAAAAGACTACCACTACTGAACTGTCCGCGCAGCTGCTTCTTTCTGTGGGAGCATCTCTCTTATTGGTACCGGGGCATTTTCGAGGTTTTCGAGGTCAGGGACATATGTCGCTGACGGTTGGGGAATACCATGTCTGTGACCTCTTTCCCCAATAGCCCCAATAGATGCCAATTTTTCGTCCGACACCCAAGAATTACTGCCGAAAAACACAAAATTTGTCAAAAAGAAAATATAGAAAACCCAGGGGTGATTAACACAGGCAGGTGTTTGGTCTCGACGAGCAAGAACTGGAGCATATTTATTTTATTTTTCAGCGGGGCGCGCATACAATTTTTTGTGACGTCAATTTTTCTGCTAAATTTAGTGGGGAAACTGAATTGGTGCACAGGTTGTGACGTCAATTTTCCCACCAAATTTAGCGGGAAAGCTGGATTGGTGCGTAGGTTGTTAAGTCAATCTTTCCCCTACATTTAGTGGTGAACCGGAACTTGTCTGTAGGTCCCGTGACGTGTGCAATGCAGGGCTGGGCAGAGATACTCCAAAAAGCATTAGGGAATAAAATACTGAGATAGATGTATTTTAAGGCCCAAAATACAGATACTGATATACATTTGTCTTTTATGTAACGGGATATCCTTGAGATACTTCTGTAAAACCAGCGAAAAAGTATTCTGGAATACAGATACAGATACTTATAGAAATGCATTAGTTCCTGAACAGTATTAGGTGGGGAGGGTGTAGTTCGTGGCGAATATGAATGGTAATTTATGCTTGTGCTCATTTTTTTGTGTAATTTTATGCTGTTCCTTTTACCTCAAATAATGCCGCTAAAGAAAGCATGTCATCCCCGTTGAACCACATACTGTAAACGACTTAATTTCCGTGAGGACCTCATTTTCGGGAATTTTGCGAATTGCCTGCAATTCACAAAAAATAGGTCCCGCTAACAATTATGGTAAAGTCTAAACACATTAAAATCTATATTGAGATTCCACAGCGTCGCGAAAATTAGAAGCCGCAAATAATTCCAGAACTTCAGCGGGGGGAAATTCCAAATTGGTGCATAGGTCGTGGCATAAATTTTTTCATTAAATTTAGCAGAATAAACTGTATTTGTGATGTCAGGCTTTCCGCTAACTTTAGCGGGGAAACTGTTTTTGTAGCAAGGAAATAGGATACCTCTATAAGTGAAAATCTCAATTAGTTGCTAATAATGCTATTGCATTATAATTAACCCCAAAAAAACCCTAAAAAGAATGAAGAAAAATTTGAATAAAATAAACCCCCACAACATGGGACCTCATTATACGGCAGCTTTAGGTGATGGGCTAATGCTGGGGTTGATTAGAAAGGACAATGCTTGCTACCAAGGAGATAGCTCAGGCTGGCTCAGTTTGCCTAGCAATTAATTCTATTGACAATTGCCTACTGCATTCGGATGTAGTACTTTGGTCGCTGTTCTGCTTGTCCAGCTTCCTGGTGATGCTGCAACGCAGTCTTTTCCTGGTGATGCTGCCATTGGCGGTTGCCTCAATCAAAAACCGCATCTTGCCTTGGATTAGTTATGGTACAATGCCTAAAACGCATCTCCGACTGGTGTGTTTAGCGTCCTTTCCCTCCATACTTCAAAAGTGGTCCCGAAGAGGCAACAAATGACATCACAGGAGCCGGGGTGTCAGGCTGTCGGATGTCGCGATGCTGGCAGTTGGTTGTGGAAGTGCCGGTGAAAAAAGTGAGCAAACGCCAGTGTTGCTGTCATCACGGCATCCCAACTCGTTGCTGCAGAAGCTTCTGTGGTCTGTAGAGCTCTGAGCAAGCCATGGCAGAATGGCTGTCTGCCACATCCACCTCCACCAGCTGCAGCCACCTCTGTGTTATTGCCAGGATCTTGGCAGACAACAGCACGACACTTCGTTGATGCCACCGGGTGGAAATCGAGAGACCAAAGTTGAGGACGCGGTAACGACACCGATCAGAGATGTGGTCAGGACTCCATAGCTCACTGGTCCAGGACTGTTTCGACGAGACCCTACGTCCCCTATTTGGGTGGATACATTCAAAGGCACGAAGCACTTTAAAGGGATACTACAACGAAATTTCGGCCCTCATTTTTTTCTCTATATGTGTTCAAAGGAGCAGCATCACATCGAACATACCAATATCTTGTTAAAAAAGTCACGAAAAGGAATTTTAAAACAAAGTAAATGATTAGCAAAGAGCACCTGGTGGATGTCGCTAACGCCTCGCTTGTAATGCCCGTCTAGGAACCTTGACAGCTAGTGACGGAGGTTGTCTCGTCTCCGGCCACGACGAGAGAAGAACTCCCCTCTTCCCGAGAATCCCTTTTGTGTGTCACAGAAGTCGCTATTGTCCCCCTACAAGATTACAGAAGATTAACCCGTCACTCAAAATTCGTACAAAAGCAGCCGCTTCGGTGGCTGGAACGACTAGGCCATCCTCTCGATGTCAGCCTCGCCGTAGCTTTGCACGTCCTGAGACGACCTATGTCACGATTGCGATGGATGTCACGTGGTCTCCGCTGGGCCTTCTCCGAGCGCTTGCCAGAGTGGGCCGTTTATAACGAAAAATACAGCCACCAGGCTCAAAATACAAACGTGTGATTGTCATTTACGGATATTGTGGATCATATTCAACCTATTTTTGAACACAACGGGAATATCTCAAATTTCTTTAAAGTATCCCTTCAACTTGCGAAATAGCTGCTATTCGTACGATTGCCAGGGCAATTTTTAGGATTAAATTTGGCAACCCCTACTGTTGCCTATGTGGTGTGTACGTTAGCCACTCAGTAAGCTACACCTTAGAGCAGTGGTCGGCAACCTTTTGGCGCAGCGGGCCGAGTCGCCGCAAAGCCGAAGCGGAACGGGCCGGATGGCAAGCAGCAGGCCAGGGGGGGGGGGAGGAGGAGGAGGGGGGGGGGGGAGGAGGGGGGGGGTTAAAGGAAAAAATGAAAAATAAAAAAGCACTTGCACGAACTTACATTGACGTACATAAATCGAAAATGAACAGTTTATGCTCGCAGACATATGTGCTCCCGAACATTGTAATCATGGTGGCTGCGAGTCTCTTAAGATTCATGAACGTAGAATCCGCAAGGCCAGCATAAAATGTAACAAGGTCGTTTGCTTCAAATGCGCTCTTCAAATCATTATCTGTTTGCAGATCGGCCAGCTCTATCTGGTAACACTCGCACCTGGCTAAGATCTGCATTAAATGGATTTTGAAATAAACAAATGTCGATCGAATGCTTCGTGAAGTCTGCAAACCTAACTACAAACTCACTTCTCAATTTGCGCAAGATTTCGCAGAGCCTTTCCGTGGGAAGTGGCGTTGCTCTCTCGCCTGCAAAAATCTTGCAGCAAAGAAAATGATAAAAATTAGACTCTCTAGCTTGGTTTTGGAAGAGACTGAGCTTCATCTCGAAAGCTCTCACATCTGTGGGCTTCCCGGACACGAGTTTCCCCTCCCCTTGTAATTTTACATTCAGGTCATTCAGACGCTGAGAAACATCAGCCAGGAGTGCCGACTCCAACACCCAATCACGATCAGCAAGCTCTTTGAGAGGTTTCCCTTTCCCACGAAGAAACACTGCAATCTCCTCACGAAGCACAAAAAAACGTTGCAAAACTCTTCCTCTGCTGAGCCATAGAACTGCTGTCTGGTACAGGACATCCCCATACTTAGCCTCTGTTTCTGACAAGAACTGTTGAAATTGACGATGGTTCAGTCCGTGACTGCAAATAAAATTGATAGTAGGTACGACTACCTTCATCACGGACTCCAGGCGCATCACTTTGGAACACAGTGATTGCTGGTGGATAATACAATGAAGATGAATAGGAGCAACAACGCCCAGGTGTGTCATTTCTGAGTTGATGCGTCCGATGACACGTGCTTTACAGCCAATCATATTTCTTGCGCCATCAGTCGTTACGCTTTTGAGGTTTTCCCATTTTAGCTGCAGCATTTCCAGACACTCGCATAGCTTGTTA